GTGTGATCACACGAATATGGCAGCTTGTATTTTTTTTTCTCCTTAACATTTTAACACTGGGCAGATTGTCTGCATTAACACACACCAAAATCAATTCTGCTCTAAAATTGCTTGTAAAAATCCTCTTCCCTGAGGAATTAGCTTTTTATTTAAATAAAATATGGGTTTGGAAGAAACTGTGTAAAAGATACCAACATTTAGGACATCTTAACTCTGTAAAGTGAGAGTCAATGGACCAATGTACTAGCAGTATTTTTGCCAAAATGGGAATTGAAGAGGAGGGAGAGATGGTATTTATATTAATATTTTTAAAGAATTGACTATAAAAACACTTCTGTATACTGGTTTGTTTGTTTTCCAGAAATGGCCTAGTTATTAGCCGCAGACTACAATGTAAGGTAAGAACTACATTTTAGGTGCTGGGGTTGTAGCTCAATGGTAGACTGCTTACCTGGCACATTTAAGGCACTGGATTCAATCCTCAGCACCACATAAAAATAAATAAAAGTATTGTGTCCATCTACAAGTTAAAAAAAAATTTAAAAAACTACATTTTACCAAAATCTTAGATAAGACACATATACTATAAGAATAGATTTTTCTCAAGGGGAAAGAAAGGAAATAAACATTTAGTATATGCCACATCTAAATGTTCAGCATCAATAAAAAATAAAATTTAGATACTCACATCATATATTATACAAAAATATAAAAATGAGTATGTTGCTGTTCAGCAGAACATTCTGTAATGATAGAAATATTCTATATATGTATTGTCAAGTACAGCAGCTTTTAGCACTTCAATGTCACTACTATGTATGAATACTGAATATTTTATTTTATTTAATCTTAAGCTTAAATAGACAACATACCTAGGGCCTAACAAACTGGACAGCGCAAATCTGTTGCTTTAAAAATAATTTTAGCAATTACTAATAAATACACAAAATAGCAAATGATAAGTGAGCACAAAGTTTGTTTAAATCATGTTTGAAGCTTAACCAACATATAAACTATGAACAAAAAGAAGCATTAAAATGAGTTTCCATTTTTGTAAGAGAAAAAAAAACAATCTACAACATGAAGAGTCAAGGAAAACATGATCTACTGGAAATATTTACAATATCTAGAAATACAAAAGACTAAAAATTTGAAGAAAATGACTAGCACATCCATTTGACAGATAAATTTTTAAGTATAGTCAAAGTTAAGTTATAAGGATAAAGACAAGTTAAAGAATGTTAATCATTTACTTGAGAGAGAGAAAGGACACATTTAAAGATGAGACTATTTGGCAATAGTTATAAATATGTTAATTGGCAAATGATGGTATAGATGCTGTATTATATTTTTAGAATAGACCTTGATAGACCAAATAACACTTCTTTAGCATCTACTATGAAAATGATATTTTACCCTAAGCTCATTATTTCCCTTCATTTTAAATAATACTAAAACTCAGTATTAATGCTACAGCTTTTGAAATATGGCAAGATTTGTCCAGAATGGACAATGTAGTTTCTAATTTAGAAGTGCTATAAACTTGAAGTTCCTAGAGTTACCTTTTGATTATCAGTTTTTTTTTTCCAGTAACAAAAATGGGAATAGTAACAACTTCATTAGTTAAGAAGCAATTAACTGAAATAAATGAAAAGTCCTTTGAGGTAAAACAGGGTTAGTGACATAAAAGAATATTAAAATTAGTTGAAGAGAAAGGTAATATTTAATACAGTGACATATCCAGATCAAATTCAATAATGATGAAAAAAACACAGCTCAGAAGATCAAATTTTCTTGTTTAAACTAGAAGGTTGACCACAGAAGTATTTTTAAAGGGTTCTTATGTCTCTAAAGACTGAAAAGATGTTAGTGTAACTAGAATTGAACAACACCAATTGTCATTGATAAGTTTCACAACTACAGATCATTTATTAAGCATCAACTTGACTACATACATTAAGACAAAAATAAGAGTAGGGCCAAAACCTTCAGGGATTTGTCATTAGGTAGAAAAGTAAGACCTGGGCTAACCCCAGAGCTCTTCTACATAGTACTGCTACTAGGACACCAGCTATCCTGCACTATCCCTGTGCCCCCTCTTCCTCTATTATACTTTAAACTTCTTATGGGTATATAAATATTCATCTTGGCATTTCCAGTCCCTGGTGCCCTGAGAAATTAAGATAAATATACTGAATGCACTGGCAAGTGGACCTAAGTAAATGTTAGATCCAACAATTAAATAATGTCATTAAAAAGTTTAAAGAAAATTATATAGAACATAGAATAGGCACAAATTCTATCAAACTGAAAAGACTAGAAACTCAGAAACATGGTGGTAATCAACTTAGACCTTAAAGGGCAAGCTCTCAGAAATCCAACAGGGAGAAGTAGAGGGAAACAGCACTCAAGCGGAGGAGAGCATAGAAAATCAAAGCACAAAACTTGTTCACAAAGTAATGCCAGAAGTAGTCATCTAAAAGGTCACTGGGTGTGTGTCAGGGAAACTGTGTAAATCCATTTTTCTCTGCAGGCCACAGGGAGTCATAGACACCTTTGGACTAGGCAAGTAGCACAATTATTCGTTTGCTTTGAGAAGAGTCTAAAGCACATGGACTAGAATGGAAGTGGAAAGATGTTAGTGAATAAGTAATGCTGTATCCTTTTCTGAGCTGTGTACTTTTTTCTTGTTGCTTTACAGACTGGATGCAGGCAGAGGAAATGGACTTTAGACCACAGAATGCCTTGTAAAGGTACAAAGTAGTAAAATTATTCAAGTTATTTAGGTTTTGTGATTAAGCAATTCATTAGGCTTTAAATGACACTAATTACCTTATAGGCACCATATTAAGAGAGGGTATGGAAATCTCCTCTAAATGTAGAAAGAGACATGGCAAAGCCTTCAAGTGGAGGGGAGATGGAATTTCGCTCATTTATACTATGAACTATAGGTTCTCCTAGTTGCCTTTCTTGAATTTTGAGCTTACAATGTTAATTACAGTAACAGATAACAGTAACAGATACAGTAGTAGAGATAATTTTTTTAAAAAAATTAGTACTATATGTATGTGTGTGTGTGTGTGTGTGTACTTTAACAAGAAAAATACCCAGAAAATGAAGCAAATAGTTAAAAGAATATGGCTTTCAAGACCTAATACTCTTTTACACAGCAAAGCAGAAATGTTTAAAGTAGCCAACCAAAATGATGAAAAAGCTCCTATTTGGTTTGACTATCCGGTTTTTATTTTCTCCCTCTCTTGTCTTAACTAATCTGGTCCCTGTGGCCTCTGAGTGGGTGGCTGCATAACAGCCACACTCCCACCATTTCCATTCCATAACTGTGGAGATATGAATTATAATCCTTCTCAGTAGACAGATGGATTTGAAGCTATCAATTTTTTTAATATAACTGCTTGGCACTTTTTAAGGGATACCTCCACTGCTTGGTTAGCAATATTTACTGCACATTTTGAGGCCTGTTTTATTGCCACTGATCATACAAATTCTTGATTCATTAAGAAATTCCTTTGTTTTATTCAAATATTAATATAATGCCTCGTGTGTTGATACAAGGGTGCTCTAATTCCTAGAGAAATCAAGCACTGCTACCTAACACCTTTGAAAGTAATTTCACTATACAAATGGGTGAGTCCCAAGTTAACTTTACAACACAAGCTCATCAAAATGACCTCATATTTCTCATCCTGTACCCCATAGTTAGATATGGTTTTGATGAATTCTGAATCCATGATTCCCCATTTTAAAATGAAATTATTTTAATTTTAAAATAGAAACTTTTGTCCATTCAATATGTAGTATAACTTAAAGGTAGTCCATGTCATCTGGTTATTCAGTGTTTGGGAACAGGAAAAAGATGAATCTTAGAAAGCCAGAGAGAATTTGACATTATAATAGATTTAGTGGGAGTTGAACTAGCAGTGGAGTACACAGGCAAAACTGTAGAAGGACTTAAGCTATTAGAGATACTTAAAGCTCTTCACATACCTGGTTGTTCCCAAATACCAATGATTTTATTTGGGAACATTTATATAAATTACTGCTGTTACTACATGTACCAGTTGAGCATCCTTAATTCAAAAATCCAAAATCCAAATTGTTTCAAGATCCAAATTTTTTGGATAACAATATGATGCTCAAGAAATTTCAGATTTTGGAGAATGCTGGATTTTCAATTTTCAGATGAGTGGTGATCAATTAGTAAATGCTATGCAAATATTTACTTCAAACCTGAAAAAAATCAGAAATCTGAAACTCTGTTGGTCTCAAGCATTTCAGATAAGGGATACTCAACCTGTACTCATGAATCTACAGAAATCTTATGATTACAAGACTATTCCTATTTTACAGAAAAGGAAACTGAGGGGAAATATGTTGAAAATAATCTGCCTACAATTGTATAGCAAAGATAGCTAGAACTCACCCTAGGATCCAAGTCACAAATTCCATGTACTTCCTACCACATGACTAAGAAAGACAAGGTCTAATATATAATAGTTGCGAACATTTATTATGTAGTAAACAAGAAACTGCTCTTTCACATTGTAAATACTAAATAGATTAAGAGGCTTGCAAACCTCAATAGCTTCAAGAGAAAGAGAAGTAAAATAGATAAGAATAGTGGTCATTTAAAAAGCAATTTGGTAAAAAAGGGATTTGAATGGGTAATGCAAAAGACAAATAATACCAATATAAATTACTACATAATATAACCATATTAAAATAATTTAACCAGTTGTATCAATTACTAACAATTCATTTGAAGTCATGTAAATCTGAAAAAAATTATAATTTTAAGATCAATGTTAGAAACATTTTTTAAAAAGTAACATAGGGAATAATCCCTATTAAAATTTGATCAAAGGCTTTGCTTTTCATTCAAGTAAAATACTGCATTCAATTTTGGCTCCTCTATGGATTTACATTTTGCTAAAACTGGTAATACCAATTTGAATTATTGAAAGTAATATAGTTTTACGTACGTTCTTCTGACATCTTGTTCAATCATTGATCGTAGTTCTTTGTCTTGGAAAAATTTATTCCAAAGACTCTGAAATAAGGAGAATAACCTAATTAAAATAATCCCATACTTTTGCTTGACTTCTATGACTTCAATTTAATAATTTAAGTGATTAAATTTTTTCTTCTCCAAATTCTTTTTTCAGGTTTCTCAGATAGAAAACCTGGGATTGGGGTAATTTTTATTAAAATCTAGTTCAATCTCAAAAACACACCCTTATCCTAACATCAATTTTTCCAGTCTAATATTATTTTACATGTTTTAAAAATTCTTTATTTCTATAAATTGAATGATCATTTTCACTGCTATACACTATCCTACTACTCTCCCTATAAATAATAATAAAGTACTTGGATTAGAGCAATATCCATAGGCCAACTGGTCCCAACTTGTACCTGACCTGAATTTCCAATGCACTGAGAGAGATATGCAATGTTTTCTACAAAGCCAGGTTTTATAATCTAATAGGCTTTTATCAAGGTTTAAAATGTGAACTTAGAGAAAATTTTAAAAATACGGAATATTTTATGGTGTAATACCAAAGACTAACTACATATATCAGGAAAAACAAATGCTAACATTATGTAGTGAATGGGAATTTTTTTTTCTATTCTTACCTAACTAGACAGAAATGAGAGCAGCAATAATTGAAGAAGTTATAAAATGTCTTTAAAATAATGATCATTCTTGGTCTTCACTGGAATACTAGAGGTCAGCCTGATTCCTTTTCCTGGTCTTTTGAAAACTTCTTCAGAGATTTTCTACAAAGAGATACTTCCTCCTTCCTGGAAGTTAGTCCTGCTAAGTGGACACTTCTCTGTATAGGAAGGCAGACTTTCCTAGCCTCTCTTCACTCCCATCTTGATAGAATAGTCCAGTTCTTAAGCATATGTTCTTCTATTTTATCCTTCGTATAGACTGCTGTGACTTCTCTATAGTGCCATTCCACTGAAGTAAATCATGAACTTCCTCTAATATTTTATGTATATACCATAGATTTATTTCCACCAGATTTTAGGTAGTACAGTATGTGGAGTAAAGAAAATGCTTGTCATGAAATACACTGTTATCATGGTGACATTTAAACTCTTATGGGTAAAAATAGTTGAGATATAAATAAAGGAGAACTTTACCCCTTCATCCTGTGAAAGGGGATTGTTGATCATCAAATCTTGTTGGCCAACAACCTTCCTTGGGTTTGTGATATGCTGGTAAAGAATGAAAACACACAGAAGATCAGAGGCTACTGGACTTTATAAATAAAAGACAATTACATTAATTACATTTACTATTTACTTACTACTTCTTTAATGTTGCTGTACCATGCTCTTAACTCTTTAATTCTACTTATCCATTGACTTTTATCTTGAGGAATAACACAAAGAAACAGCTGTCAAGGGAAAAAAATTGTAAGAATCATAAATACAATGTGAAACCAGGCCAAAAGAATAACCTGCAAATCAAAATCGATATCCCATTCATGCTATTTTATATTCATATCATTACTTTAATTTCCAGTAATTTATATTTGTGGATATTTAAGAAACATAGTTAGTTAGAAATTTAAAAATTGAGTAATCAAAAGCAAAAGATCTCAGAAGCTGCACCATAAAATAGAATCAAGCCTCCCTCCAGATTCATATTAAAAATGAAAAAAAATTCATCAACAATTCCCATTCTATATTCTAATCTTATAGGAAGTAGCAGGGAGATATTACAAGGTACAAGTTCTGATTAGTAATTTCTAGATTTAAGGTTTTATTTTAAAGCAAAGCAGATAAAGGGCAGAGAAGAAGAGTAAGAATAGTCTGAGAAAGGAGAATATTGTCTAAGCAGCAAACTCATTCAAAGCAAAAATGTAATTTACAATTGGCAATCAGCTTATGAAAATAAGCATTTTTAAAAAGAAAAATTTGATTCAATTTAGTTTAATGCAACATTAAAATAAATCTGGACTTAGGTTTATTTTTAGCAGATGAAGGATACTAAAAGTTAAACAACAGGGAATGGGGGTGGGGCACAAATATTTGTATACAAATATTCTAGCAGCAGGTCTCCTGCCTTTACTGCCTTCATCTAACAGAAGAAAAATGTATTTTAATTATTAAATTTAAATTATTAAATCTAAAACTGTCTAATATATCATGCGTTTCTTATTGTCTTTGCACAGACTCATTATGCTCAATATAGGCAGATACCCCTAAAAACTTTTGATAAAAATCACTTTTAAGTCACATCTAAACCTAAATTAATTCATTTTGGAGAACAAAAAGAAACACTTTTTCAAAGCAATTAAAAAGATAACTGTGAGTTATGATTACTACTTTTGGTAACCAATGACCTTTCCACTGAAGGAGAATGACCCAATTACCTTCCAATTCTCCTTGCTGCCCTTCAGTTTGTGTTTCTAGCAAAAGAAACAGAAAAAAACTTTTCCATCTGCTTATGAAGGAAGAAGGGAGGGTAACCAAATGAGGGTGCTTGATATAACACAAACAGGAAGATTATCCACCTCCCCCACTTCTGCCCAGCTTCAAGAATTTCTACAAAAGCCTCTAAGCAATACAAAGGTGTTGCTCTGAAATTTGTACCATACAGACAAATGAAAAGATAGTTGTTTTGAATGATTCCCTTAAAATTATTCAGGACTAACATGGTTCAAGCTTATTAGTAAATGTCCTATGAAAAATAAACACGGATGGCCAAAAACCTGAAGTGAAGTCCCTTGGAAAAATTCAGCGATCCTCTGCATGGGTAATCTTCCAGGGCATCAGGTACTGTGTTGATATATTGCAACCACAAACTGTAAATAAATATTTTCTTCTTACCTTCCAGCAAATACTGCGGAACCTGCTGCTTCTCAGCTGCCCATTAATCCCTTTCTGCCTTATTGTTGCCAAGTAATTGTTGTTTACAAATAGTTCTTCCCATTCTTTCCTATATGAAAGAAAGCAAAGCATGGGAATCCTTTTGTTACAATTCTTCTGCTTCAAGAGGAGTGTTACAGAAAAATAATTTTAAATAAGTCTAAGAAATGCAACTTTTAAAATGTATATATTTAGTTTCTGTTTCTGTACGCATGGCTGTCTTTTTGGACAGAGTTCTTCTGTAGATTTAATGAATATGTAGATAGCTATAATTATGCCAGTTACTGAAATTCATAATGTCTATGGAGGCTATTCCATTCCATCTAAAATGTTGGTAGTGCAATTCAGTGACTAAACAAGAAAAAAAAAGAATATTAATAACAATACATGATTGCTTGAGCCATTGACAGATGTATCTACTCTGAAAATAGACTTTAAAAAAAAGGTATTGTTGATTACACTGGCTTCTCACATGAAATATCTATTTGAATAAACTGTTTTCTCCTTAATGTTAAGCTGGGCATTTAAGTATAATAGAAGACTACTTTCTTTAACTGTTGGTGGTATTTACTATTGAAATCTCTGCAACTTCTTTCTACATGATCGGTTTTAAAATTTTAACAGGTGCAGGCAAATTTGAAGAAAACATCAAAAAATTAAAAAGCCTCACTGTAAAAACTGTTAAAGGCAAGCTTGAGTACCTTGCAGTACCTATGGCTGAGTAGATAAACAACTGAAATATGCCTCCCAGGCATGCAGACACCAGGGGCCTAACACCTGTGCCTCATTAATATACAAGTAAATCTGCTCTACTGGGAAACAATTGGAAATTAATTGTCCCAAACCATTTACTGAGTTTGAATAAAGGAATTAGACCTATATTTCCAGCATCTTGCACCAAACTAAACATTAAGAATCATTTGTCAACAGTTGAGGCTACTGAGATCAGTTTCATGAAATTACTCTTGAATTCCATGATGTCACAATAAAATTAACTTATAATTTAAAATTTATTATCAAAGCTGAAACCCTGGGGGCAATCTCTTAAGAGAGATTTCCTAAAAAGAAAGTCACTAAAAGTCTGTCACTCTGTCAGTGTTGTTTATGTGCACAGTTGTCACTGACTAGATCCTCCTCCTTTTGAGAAAGGATGGCCTTGCATACTATGCTGACCACCATGAGCTCAACTACCTGTACAACCAGAGTTCAAAAATATGACCACAAGCCAGACACACCTTCTCCACAAAGTTCCACAAGAATGATCAAAAACAATACCACATTCCCTACTGCCATCAGAACGTCCAGCCTGTAGAGCAGATCCCATTACACCATTTCTTCTTCCAATAGAGGCTTGTAGCTAACTATGCCAAATGGTGTACAAACTCCAATACAATGCTAGAATAAAGGCATCTCTATCTCCATTCCAAAAAAATGTCTTTTCTTACTCTATTAATATGAAAAAATATGTATTAATTTGCATTCGTGTTATTAGTGAAACTGAAACATTTTCAAACTTTTGGGTCATCTGGTTTCTTATTTATTAAAACTTTGCCCATGATAAGCAGAATAGGATAGTAGTTTAGAGCATGGGCATGAGAATCACAATCCTGGGATGGAAAAGCCAGCCATGCAGTCAGAAAGAGTAAACTATTTACACTCTACTTATTGTCAGCTCACATAAAAAATTTACTTAACCTCATTGTGTCTTAGTTTCTTTATCGATGAAATAATAATAGCATCCCCCTCAAAGAATTATTATGAAGATTAAAAGAACACATGAAACACCCTCAGAAGTGTACATAGTACACATCATTTTAAAAAATTGTTAGAATAATTATAAAATTGATTTTATTTTAGATGCTTTATTGTTGATCCAAGAGAGAAGCTTTTCATACATGTAAGACATTATCAGGCATATATATTTTAACCCAGTTGGCTTGATTTTCAACACAATAAGGCTTTTTAATTTATATAAAATTTAGATGTAAAATTGCTTTCTCTTGTTGATTGGTCCAGTTGTTTTCTGAATTCTTGATCACGCACAGATCAAAAAACTATTTACTGAATTTTGTGTTTTTTTTAAACTTTAACCCATTTATATTATCTATGATATTTTAAATATTTTCTATAATTTCATATATATATATATATACACACACCCACATCTCCTATTATTAAAGTTTGTTTGTTTTAATCCAGTTTTTACTTTTATTCAAAATGAGATAAGCAACAAGTAACTAAGAACATTAGAGGAGTACATTTCAGAAATCTTATGCTTGTGTAAGTAGTTTGTGCTTTCTTAAAACAAAAACCACCAAAATTTCAAATGTATTCTGAACCTAAAAGGAACTAGGCACTTCCATGGCCTGAAAACACCAATAATTCCAAGTAAAAGAAAGAAATATAAAGCAATGACTCTTCCAGCTTCTTTTAAAATCAGCTTCTATTCACAGGTATCAAGAAATTGTAAAAGTACAGGCACAGCTGGTCGCTAGATTTATCTCCATCTTGTCAAATGAAACGGGCTTTTAAAGTCATGTTACATATTACTTATGTAATGAAATATAATTATTTGTTAGCTTAATTAAGACCCTGTAACTTGATTACAGTGTTGGTAGAGAAAAGGACACTGAGATATATCAATTTACATTATCTCTAAAATTCACATTCATTTAAATTTATTCATGGGTACTTAGAGTTCTCTAAGTCATAACATCAAAAACTGAAGAAGAGCCCTAATAATCAGGCCCACAAAGTCCACAAGATAATGCATTAATTGTCTTTCTCTTCAATGGAATAGTGTTTCATCCAAAACTGATATAAAGTAAGTAAAATATTAAGCTCCTACTATGTGTTTAGCACTTATGGACATTTAAAACCTTAAACTAGGTGCATGGACAGATAGACGTGCAAAAAATTGTACGAAGATTCACACAAAGTACATTACTAGTAAATGAAAGAAGAAATATCTTTAGACTTAAAAATTAAAACTCAAGATATAAATATAATTGTAGCACCACAGGTGATGAAACTCTACTCCCAAGAATTAAGTAATGAGAGGTTAGAAAGACTCAAAGTGTTGAAAGGTGCTTCAAGGGGAGCTGGATCAAAATGAAACTATTTTTTTTACAATCAGAAATATGAATGATGGGTTTGCTCCTAAACCTGGAGGAAAACAATGGGAAAAGAACAGGGAATAGTGAAGATTTGGTGGCAGAATTTTTCAGTTTAATTAGCAAAAATAAAGGAAACGTAGTTGCTACACTTTGTCTTATACTATATATTATATATATAAAAAGTATATATTACAATTATATATGTGTGTTTGTATATATATATTTCTGATGATGTCACTAAAATGCTAAAAAGTCAACTTATGATATATTTTGGGTAAACCACTTCTAACTACTACAATAACCCTCTTAGAGTTTTATTTTTACTTCTTTATGAATGAAGAAACTAAGGCTCATAAAAATTAAATTACTCTCAAGACAAAAAAGAAATATGAGATTTTTTTAAACACCCCAAAAGGACCTCTTGGCAGTAAGTTGGGGTAGAAATGTTTTCTTCCTCCCCCATTTTAAGTTTTTGAATATTAAGTCTGAGGGCAAGAGATAAGTTTTCAACTGCTGGACTGAGAAGAGAAGATAAGTCAATAACTGCTACAGTGAGCAGTTAAAACATACACTTAGTGTACAAAAGCCTAAGTGATTAGACCTTTAAGGCCTTTAAGGACTCCTTTTTAAAAGCAACACTAGTGCCATCTGGTGGCAATTACTCTTGCATGCAGGCACTGTGTCCCTGACAACAATCAGCATTTAATCAAGGAGGGGGCAGGGATGGGTAAATTTTATTTCTCATGTTAGGGTCAATGGATTAGTAGTTCAGAAGCACTGTGTTGAGAAGTTCTTTGAGCCTATGCTTGTGCTCCTCAGGAAGAAAAATGTTATGACTGAAATCAGCCATGAGTGTAGCAATCATTCTCAAAAATGAAATCAACTTTTGCAGTGGCAATTGATGCTTTCCCTCTAATATAATTTATTTAGCCATTTAAGCCTCTTGCAATATAGACTTTTTTTTAAAAAAAGTAAATCAATTTTAATATGCACTGAATAAATGCAGCTGATGATTATAAGAGATATTTCCAATTATATATTTTAATGTACTATTTTCCCAAAATTTGCATATAAAATTAATAAGAAACTAGTTAGTACCTTCTAAGTTTATTTGTCTAAATAGTTTTTAACCTAAATGATGCATAAATTATAAAACTATGTACTAATTTATGTCTAGAAAACTTAATTATTGTCCCACATATTGATACACTATAGAAAATTACATTCTATACTTTGATAATTTCTATCCTATTTCTAGACATCATTTAGATAGAGAATAACAACTCTATGTGGGTAACTTAAGAAACCAAACAACTACAATAATGGTAAAGAGTTGAGACACTAAACATAATTTAGGAATGAAGGTCTCCAGTACTCGGTGAAGGAGAGCTATATTGGCTTCTGATAATGAATTTGCTGGTTGAACAAGGATGATCAGTAAGAGGAAGCCCAAGTCACAGAGTGTAGAAGAAAAAAAGGAGGAGAGGAAACATGCTTCTCTCCATACTTCTGAGAGGTATGGAGAGAGGGCATTTGGCAGAAGGATCCCTCAGAGATATAGATTACAAGATCTGCCAGCCAACCCTGACCTCCTTACTGAGATCTGAATAGAGAAATGACAGAATAACAAGCAGCAGCCGCCAGGGCAAGATGCAGATTACTATTTACAAGCAGGATTAGATCACAATTAAATGTGTAGAATATGTGAAGCTGAGGAAACAAAAGGTAAAACAGCTGAACTTGATACAAAAAGGTTTATACAATTGTAATTGTAACCCTAAAATACATGCCAATATTTCAAGAATTGCCACAAGAATTTTGATCACATTTGTTTTATCAAATGCAAAGGAATGAGACAGACTTTTAGAATATTTCCAATCTATATAGAAATATATTAGTGAAACATTTCCATCTGTGAAAGGACTGTACCTTAATTCCAGTATTCCATCTGATA